GCGTCTTCCTATCGTCAGGGAAAACTCGTACACCGAGGCACTTAAGCCAAATTTAAAACATGCGACCTGTGGTACGTGGTTGAGTCTTAAGCGAGGAGGTCCAAAAACCTGTAACTAAACCTCAAGGAGAGAAATGTAAAAATGCGTTTCGTTGACATCTAATCATTGACTTGTATGATGTGGGTGAGGCCGAAGCAACTTTCAAGGCGTTGCTCAAAGTGGCTAGACGGATTACAGAGATGTGAAACATAGTACCAGGTGACGGCACAATTTGTTTGTAATAGTAAATAACACTGGGCAGCCACATTTTGTCGATGATGGAACCCAGCGAAGTAAAAATGAACTTGTCAAGGTGGAATAAATACTAAACCTTGATTGGTGGTGGCTTGCAAAGGAGGTCGTGGCTCTGGGGGCCAGCCGTGTCCTCTGCACGTTCATAACAGTGGAGGATGAGCCGTGCTATATCGCAGTTAGATATCAATCATGGCGGTCCACTGCTGTCGCCCATGGCTCAGTGGCATAAGTCGTTGGCTCGCAAGAGAAAGATCGTGGGTTCGAATCCGGCAGGACTCGGCAGGTGCGCGCTGCTGACGAGTCCTAACAGGACGAAGCGGCCGTCTAGCGCTTTCCTAGATGTGTGGTGGCTCTCTGCCTGAGTCTAACTGCGAGGGACTTTTGCCAAACACCAAACTAGCGTTAACACAAGGGTGGTCGGTCAATCGGAGCCTAATTGTAGTGATAAAATGCAACATCTATCTACGGATCGAGTGATTGCAAAAAAGGTTAAAATGCCGAAAAGGATAGACCACTCACAACAGCAGACTGAGGAAGACTCATATTAAGAAACAAGGTTAGAGAACGACAGTAGCCACGCACTCAGTACACACACACACACACACACACACACACAATATACACGTTAGCTAGAGGTAGGAAACACCTCAGCTACTGTGCCGCAATACCAAAAGAAAAAAGGGAATAAAATGCAACAGGTGCAAGCCAGCTGAGCTACCGGTAACGGATGGCCATCGTTCCGATAAGCTACCAGCCGACTACTATGCAGCAGAAAAGGAAATAAGTTACTATGCAAAATTACATAAGGCTAAATAATGAGATCGTGGTTGGAGGGGGACGCTAAGAGGGATGGGGTGTAACAAAGAAACTCACAGCACGAACGCCACTGAGGTCGGCTCCTAGCCATATCAACAAGTGCATCCAGCCGAACGTGTTCATCGTCTTTCGGACCCCAACCAGGGAGCCGAGACGCTCCAACCGAGGCCAGCTCCGAAGTGAGGGCCTTCATTCCTCACGACCAAGTCATCGATCGGTCACCCCTCCTCTTCTTCCATCCACACCCCCGGCGCGCAAACAACGCACATCGCGGGAGTCGGTGGGCTGGCATGCGTAACACGTGGCCGAGCCATCGGAGCCTGGTGCGTGAAATAACTGCCGAGTGGTTCATTTCCTTTTTCTGTGCCGTAAACAAGGCGTCGAGCACGCTCGTTGCTTAGTCGGTGCTCCCACCAGAGGTGAGCTAAATTGCGAAGGCACCGGTGGTCGAACGTAATTAGCTTCTTTATGTCCGCTGATGTAAAGGACCAGGTTTCACAACCGTACAGTAGGGTCGAACGTACCGCTGCATTGTACACTCTACCCTTCAGGGCAAGAGTGATGTCGCGCCGGCGCCATAAGTGGTGAAGGTTAAAATAAGCGCCCCGAGCTTTTGCTGTACGGTTCGTGATCTCATCTTCAATCCCACGGGCGCTGATACAACTTCCCAGGTAGTTGAATTTTTGAACGACTTCTAGCTGATCCCCACCAAGGGTCAGCGAAGGAGACGGTTCAGACCAATCTTGGAGGAACGCTTTGCACTTCGATGGTGCAAAGCAAAACCTGAAGCGGTTGACAGCCAGTGCTAATCTGTCCAGTGCCGCTTGGCACGTCTGAGAGCTGTCACAGATTAGGGCAATATCATCAGCATACTCTAAGTCAAAAAGTCGTTCTCCTGGGAGCAGATCTACACCTAAGTTGTGTCCTGTGAACGCGATTTCCATGACTTCGTCAATAGCGAAGTTGAAGAGGAAAGGTGACAGCGGGCATCCTTGACTCACACGGCTGGAGATATTAAAGAGCGACGACAACTTGCCGTAAGCCCTCACTCTGCCCGAGCTACACGCATATAATGCTCGGATAATATTCACATATTTCTCAGGTACACCTTTCCTGAGTAGACAGTCCCAAAGTGCATGTCTATCCACCGAATCGAATGCACCTTTGATATGGAGGAACACGACAACGGTGGGCCGCCAATATATGTGACGGTGCTCCAACAACTGACGCAAAGTGAAGATGTGATCAATGCAGCCACGACCTCGACAAAATCCAGCTTGCTCTTCACGAATCTGGCTTTCACGAGTGCCAGTCAGTCTGTGAAGGATGACAGGCAAGCAATTTGGAGGCGATGGAGATCAGACTGATTGCTCTATGGCTGCCGCATTCCGATCGTAAACCTCCCTTGAAAATTGGGACTATGACGGAGTGGCTCCAGTCGGTTGGGACAGTTTCCTGCTCCCACAGTTTGACTAGTAACTCGTATAAATCATCCACAAGAGCAGGTCCCCCGAATTTAAAGAGGGATGGAGGAAGATCATCTGGTCCCGCGGCTTTAATTACCTTTAACAGTGCAATCTCACGTTTGACTTTTGAGCGATCAGTGGCCGGCGAGAAATCTAACAATTCCGACCGATTAAATTGCTTTTCAAGATGCTCAGCTCAACGCTCCAAGCGTTTTGACAAGTTGTGGATAGGCTGTTCACTCTCGTCACGTAGAGTTTCACTAACACCAGATCTTCTGCTGCCCGTTTCCCGTATCAGGCGGAATAACTTACGATGGTTACCAAGGGCAGCGGCCATTTCCATCTCTGATGCACGATGAGACCACCAGGATTCGCGGTCTCTCTTCAGACTAGCACGGAGTTTTGCCCGGAGCTCTCTGCGAGTTTCATTGTGTTCGCTTCCAGCCGGAATATGCTGGCAGGCGTCGATCAGTTCCAGAGACGGAGAAGAGACCCAATGTCCATGTTGACAATTAGACTTATCACATGAGGATTTGCCTGCTGCTAGTAAGGTCTGGTGAATATGAGACCAGTGAGCTTCAAATGCATCCAGTGAGTGCTTACACAACTCGCATGAGAGTGTACTTTGATAGGCATTCAGAACAGCTGGTTTCGCCAGTTGGCTGGTGTCAATGCGCTCACAACGTCGTCTCGGGCGTCCGCCAAAGCGCATCCGCAGATCAGCACATACAAGTGCATGGTCGGTGTCCACACCTGTGCTCCAAATCGAGCGACAGTTCTGAACGCAGCCTCTCTATCGGTAACTTATCGCAATGTGATCGATTTGCGTCCATAGCTGGTTTGAGGCTGGTGGGCACCAAGTCACCCCCGGCGGGTGCTGTGTCGGAAATTACTGCTCGCAAGAAATAAGTGAGCATCCTCACACAAATGAAGTAACCACTCACAGATATCATTACGGGAGCCTACCCCCTGTTGGCCGCCCAAATGCAGCTCATCTGTGGATAATTTTCCAACTTGAGCATTCAGATCTCCAGCCAGCACAACAGTGTCCGAGCTTCTTCTGTGGCGAAGGAGCTCGTTCCATTGGCAATAGAAGTCGTCTTTTACCGAATTACCGCTAGAGTTTGTGGGTGCATGGGCAGCGATGGCGAATAGACACCTATTAGTTCCGCACGACTTTGAAGCTTTAAACGAGCCAGCCAATCGGACCGCACACAACCGGCTACTGATTGGAATCCAGTCAACCAGAGCAGCTTCAGCTCGGGGACTCGGGGCAATACCAACACCGGCTTGGCCGGTGCTCGAAGCTGCATCGTCACCGGATAGGCGCTATGAGAAAGTGCTGCTGGCGTCACCTGAAGAGGATCGCAAAGTGAGCACAGAGCTCGAGTCTTGCAGGTGGGTTTCCGATAAGCAGCAGTTATCGATCGAGAGGGTCTCTAATGTTCGGGCAAGTGCTGCCTGTTGACCGATCTGTAGCAATGTGCGTACATTGAGGCATGCCCATCTGAGGGAGGATCGAGGGTTCCAAATGGAAGCCGATGAACTGGGATTGGCCGTTTGGTTGGACATGGGCTTGTCGACAGGACAGGAATGACGCTCCGCGTTCACATGTGAGTTGAAACTAGAAGACAAGCGACTATTGAAGCAAGGTGGAGGAGGGCCGAGAATTGGAGGGTTGAAAACAGGGGGGATAAAAGTGAAGCTGGAACAGGACGATAAGAGTGAAAAAGCGTAAGAGGGGGAATAAGAAGACGGGAAGGCTTGAGCAGTAGCATCCAAACCCATATCCACCCTGCCCGATGCAGCAGATAGGGCACCGTTGATTATCCTCTGCGGTGGCCAGAGCATCAGAAATTTGTTTGAAGCGAGATTCATAGTATTGCGTGGGCAGGATACTGTCAGGTTGCCCAGGCCTAGACAGGAGAACGATTAGGGTTCTTAACCAAAGCCTTTGGTTCAAAAACCTGTCCGCAAGGCAGCGGGTTTGGCATTGGGATACAAGGAGTCCGTTTTAAGGAATAAGGAGCCACCTCGTTCCAACCCCCAACCTGGATGACCAGGAGGCTGAGTTTGTCTGGCCTCTAACCATTAACCAATCTGGTTTAAGTGGCTCTGAAGGTGCAAAAAAGCACCACCCAGCATAGCTCAATGGATCGCTGAGGCACTCAAACGATCACGCACGGAGTACAAAGTCCAATGTTGGTCAAACGGGAATCCTAAAAGCTCGTATACACATGGCACAAATAATTGAGTACAAGTGATAAAGGTACAAATGTTATTGTTGAGTAACGTAAACTGCATAGGAAGAGGTATCACTTGTATTCCAGTTTGGTTAGACCAAATAAGTGGATCAGCCGAGTTGGTGATGTGGTTTGTGTCTCGGCTCTGCGAGAAAAGGATACATATTTTCAAGCGACTCACTTGGGATAGAGCAGCCTGACGAGCGCAACTATGTTCCCAGAATTGACGTGCTTCCGTGTTGCGTTTTCGTTCGATCGCTATAGAAGCAGCCAACTGCTTGGAGAGCTCCACGAAATCATCGATCAAGGAAGTGATTCGCTCGTGCGAGGAATTGACAGCAGTATTCTGCAGAGTGAATGGAAAGCATCATGCGCTCAGTGGGGTAGAATAAAAATGAGACGGACGATACTACCCAGTCTTGTCACCGGGTTTTACCTGATTAAGATTCGATGGATTCAGTTACCATGATCTGAATACTCGCCGTAACGGTATTCAACACCGAGGGAGAAAATGGAGAAGAAAAAGCCAAAATTAGGGACAAGAATGCAAAAGAGAAGAGTGGTAGGCCACAGGCATTTACTGAAAGATCAACAAACAAGAAACGACACACAAGAGATGCCGCTCGCTACGCGGTTGGGTGATACCAGGTTCCTAAACCACCGAATTGGTCGATCCGGAGATCTTCAGCAAGAAAGCCTGTCGATCAGTCCTCATACATCTTGTCGCGTCGTCGGTTGACCGCCGTGTGGGGAGCATGACCAAGGTAACGTATATTGTTAGTGTCTAACATAATGTCCAGCGCAGCACTAGAGTCAGTTGTGAAATGCCTACTCGCTGAGCACATTACCCATCCAGTGCTTCCACCAGAAGCCGATGGCCAGCGACGAGAGTTCAGCGATTCTATCGGTGATTTAGCGTTCGGAGATGATACAGCTGAATAAGTAGGTAAACCGGTCGTTTTCGAATGGTCGATCGATGGCTGCGAGAATTAGTGGCGGGCTGGCCCAATTCGCTGGAGTGCCTATAACACGCCAAGCACACACCGAGACATACACGTAACGATATCAGGCCATCCATAAGCGCGTATACAGAGAATGGACGCGATTCCAAGAGGTATATATTACTCTCGTCATTTGAGAATTCCAGTCAAGTAGTTGGTAGAGCGTGAGCAGTGGACTGCCGTAATCCTTCATACGTTAACGGAATGCTCGCTGACTACAAGCCGCAATACCATCTGATGTTTCTTCGGATGTGTGGTGACTGTGACTGAATTTAACTGTGGGATGAGACTGCTGACAACGCTAGCAGTTGGTTCAAAACTAACAAATGTAGAGCCCGACACGATCTTAGAAGAATTACGCGTAGAAGTTGGCTCTCCAAAGCAAACGATTAATGTACTTGAATGTGAAGCCCTAAATAATATAAAAACAAAGTTCCACAGAGTAGCCTAAACCAAACTCCACGCGTGTAGGTGCTGAAAATTGGGTGTCGTACTGCCAACACTCGTATTCAAGCTGTCTCAGAGTGGGTACGCGACGGAACTTGGTTGACAATGCAATCACATGCTTGGAGGGCGAAAAGTTTGACGGGAGAATTGAATGATCGCGGTGGGGTAAAGATGTCACAGAATAAACAATTATGAGAATTTGTCCCGCGCGACCAAATTAGTGATCTCAAGGGATGCTAGCGTCCTTCTAGTTCGACCGATGGCATTCGATCGATCAGTGGCATGCAGCTAGCCGGAACTACTACACTCAAGCTCTGCGATACAGGTAGAGTTACTGTCATATTGCAAAAGCAACATTGCTGCTTCGTGTGGGTCTTTTTTGACGACTGGGAGATAAGTGCAAATAATGAAAAGAGTAGAAGTGACCAACCAACAACGTCGACGGGAGCATACTCGTGCTATGATAGGTACAGATCTAAACTAAGTACTCTACAGGGATAGAACATGTGTCGCATGGATCGGTTAAGTATCGGAGGCGATGTTAGTGCACGTTCCGTAAGTGACTGATCGTGACAGAGGATGCTCCGAACGGCGGCTAACGTAACCAATTAACTTTGGACAGCAGGAAGAGCAGGTGTGCCATGCCATAAGAAACTAGCCGCCTCTGCTATCGTTTAGGCTAGGCGGGAACTGATGGTCCAGGTTGGCAAGGGTAAGGCAGTGGTTCCACCTCACGCAATGCAGAGGTGTCCGCAGGACAGTTTGTGAACGTGCCTAAGTTGGTCAATAGTGCACCGAACGTCTTACCACTACACAAGTTTACCTTTCAGAACAAATCGAAAGTTATCTACCTCAAATAATAACATCCGTAATTCAAGCAAAAGAAAATCACTATATGAGACCCATACCATTTGTAATGAAAACGGGGTTTGTGTATTAAATACCACGAGATGAAGTGACAACGCAATCGTGCTATGATTAAGTTAGGCGGGCGAGTAAGTGTTGTGAAAAGCTAACTGATCACTGTAAAAAGCTACATACTCACGTGTCGCGCGAGTATGAGAGAAAGGTGCCCGGCATTGGCCTGTAGTAACTCGTGCAAGGCTGTGATACGCTTTGACTGAGGCCGGAGGGTGATTTCAAGGCACTCCTTAGATAACTTCAACTGCTCCTCGGAGAAGGCGTCTGTTTGTTCTGCCGCGTCGATGCATTCGGTTGCGAGACAAGAAGCGAGCTTCTCGCTTAATTCATTCTGAGTCCGCAGCAGTTCATAAACGGCTGACTCGGTGTTACTTCGGAGGTCAGCTATAGAAAATGAAAGATATCTTGAGCTGGCGATGGAGACAGGGACCAGGAATAATGGTGAAATAACGATGGAGTGGGACTAATGGGCCACCATCTGGATTGCGGAACATAACACTGTGTATACTAGACAACAGAACTGCGTAATACAGGAGCAGTAGGTCGAGCTACCGAGACGCAAAGCAAGGCCTTTCAGAAACGACAAGGAGCAGTTCGGCAAAATTAGCAGAGCAGCGAACCTAAGGGATCAAGCAGGCCTAGAACTACAAAATTCATTGCTAGTATTGTTGAACAGACTAGAGGGCGCTGGGATTTTGTCTCAATTAGTGAAACCAACGAAGGCTAGTGGCATCAAGTGACCTTTTGGATACGATAAAACAACTAGCTCAGACCAAAATGTTGCAGAAATTGTCAGCAGTGGCAGGAGTAAGAAATTTGATATATTTTGCTTTACCAACATGGATGAGTCCATAAACTCCTAGTGATTTGTAGGCTAAATGTGAACTATCCTCGAAGAAATGCTACAGCATGGTGCACGTGGGCAGTTCCAATGCGATGAGAATGAGACGAATACTACAATGATATCCACAAAACGTCCTTTGGCCTTTAAAGACTGGCGGAAAGTTGGTAACGGTAAGTGAAATAACAATCCTCCTTTGTGCGAGATAGTACTGAACAAGCCGTATAGGACAATCACCGTCTCTTAGCAAGGACCCCGTCCGCACAAGTGACCAAAAAGTGACCGCTGGAGCTCCCTGAGTGACCAATTTTGGGCCCCCGGCCGTCCCAATTGGACACTTTTTGGACGACTTCGGATCACTCAAAATGTTCTTTCAGACGCACGCTTACCATATACCGTCAACATTAATCGTAAATCGATCCCCAACTTGTAAGTACGTAATATTATAGCCGTCAGAAGAAACCAAAAATGTTTTTGAGTGACCAATAGTCGTCCGAAAAGTACCCGATTGGGAACGCCGGGGCATAAAAATTGGTCACTCAGGGCGCTCAAATGGTCGCTCGCGTTGACTGAAATTACGATTTTGCTAAAAAGTAAGGCCTTTTAGGCAAAGAATGGCGGTCCTATCTAACAATGTAGATGGAGATATTACGCCATTCATCTTCATGTTTACTTTTCGCCTCCGCGAGTGACCAAAAACACGCACGAATGGGACGGCTGGCCGTCCATCTGTGCGGACAGGGGATGGAGGAAGCGCATCGGGGTCAGGTACCTTACCCTGCTTCGGTAGCACTAGTACGTGTCTGAGTTGCTGAGGGCGTGTCACATATCAAGGCGCCAGGTGAGTTTGAGCTACCTAAATGGCAAACTTGACATCAATCGGGTAGAATTCCTCCTCAGAGCATCCGGACCAGCGATCTTACCGAGGTGACTCAGAGCGCAGCATTTGCCGACCTTTCTCAACACTTTTCCTACTGATGCCAGCTTTTACTAGACCCTGAATCGAAACAATGTTATGGCGATCCAGCTGGCATTTGAATTTCCTATCGTAAAAATATTCGCCGCCCATAAAGTCTCTGGTTAATTAAGACTCTTAGTCACATATCGCTTCAGGGTTCCGAGTTCCAATCAGATGTAACGAAGTTCCAAAAATCCATCCAATATTCAAATGCCTCGGGCTGAACAGATAAGCTACTACAAGTGCTTTTTGCACTACGCAACCGAGGTAATTTAATTCATGTGGTGCTCCTCTACCGCAGTACGGGTTTACATTGTTGCTTCGTGGATTGATAAGGCATCTGATGAGCAGCATCAAAGCTGAGGGACGGAAGGGTGGTCGAGAAGCTCGCATATACACACAAAAAGGCACGATTGAAGTCGAAACAAGTACCATATATATATATATATATATATATATATATATATATATATATATATACCATCGGCTGTCTATAGAATAGACATCGAGTTATCCAAAACCAGGCAATAAATGTGCAGATTAACTACAATGACCAGGAAAGTGGAAAAAAATATAAATTTCTTCGGGTATTTTCCACATAGTATTTTGTTTTTTGTTAGTTTAGTGGTTACGGTTTTAATCAGTAGAATCAATACATAGACTTATGCAAACCTTTTAGTGACCCCGATTATACGCCATGTCCTTGAAAGAGGCATCAACCAACGATTACTTCATCTATGATTCCCCAGCCCGGAAGAGGTACGGGACCGACAACAGCTAGACTGGAAGTCAGTGCCGTGACGTTTTGTCGCCATGTGGTAGATTGACCACCGTGCGATTTCTTGTATGGCGGTCATGCGCTAGCGAATAGAGCGCGCAATAGTAAACGCCCGCACGATATGCGTAAGATGTGATCTAGCCACCTCAGTTGACTCAGCGATATTAGCTTGTCGAGAGGAAGGCTAGTAGTACCAAGAATGCGATTACCATCCTCGATACAAATGTGGTGTTCCTACCACACGAGCTATCCTCCGCAGAGAACCGTTGTCAAAGGCCTAAATTCAACGCAAATCGTTTACACGGATCGGCCAGGACTCACTTCCTTACAACAGGACCGCGCAAACACAGGCATTATAGACTCTGCCCTTTACCGAGAATGAAATGTCACGACGTTACAGATGCCACAGATCAGTGAAAGCTGATCAGGTTTCGGCAATATGGATCAAAATCTCTACCCATGCCGCCATAAGAAGAGATGCAACCTCCAAGGTAGATGAAGCTATCTATTCGTTCAAGCCGCACACCTTCAACAATCAGGACGGAGCAAGCGGATGCCAATCCTGGAGTAGGACCTTGCACTTCAATGGGGCAAAGATCATGCCATACTTAGTAGCTTCAATCACTAAGCGTTTTAAACGTCTTGCATGATCTGTGGGTCGTCACCAAGCAAAGTAATATCATCAGCATAGCTCAAGTCAGTCGCGCGATTGTCTGGAAGAAGCTGAGTTTAAATGGCTCGTAACCATGGCCCGTCTAGTATGAGTGGCACTGCAAACAACTGGAAGGTATCCAGGAGCGTAGTCCATAGGACAGCGGAGATAGGCAAACCATTGCATCAAGTTATGATCCACGCTCGCCGCGAATGGCACTGGTCAATAGCTTAGTAGTGGCTGGCCGATACAACAACCAGTGAAGACAAGAGGGCACTGAGCAACGGTCACATGAGAATGCTCGTACTCCCCAAAACGACCGGCAATTTGTCCCTTGCAAATTGCGGTCAAATTGAGCAGAACGGGTAGAATTGAGAATCAAAATGGAGAAAAAGCTAACGACTTACAAAGTGCGTGACGTATTTGTTGACAAAACACATCGACTTTTCGAGACACTTCGGTGAGGTCCGCAGTCGGTGTGGATAGTCGTTCAACCGCCCAAGTCGAAGGTAAACGTTTGATTCGCTCGCGGTTTTCCTTATCCAAGTCGGTCAAGCGGCGCACTTTGTCGTGCAGTCCACCTACATCACTCACGGCAACACGAGTGGTAGTCAACAGTGAAGTTGCCTGATCTCGCAGAAGGTTCTCAGTCTTCTCGTGCTGCTGACGCAAGTGTTCTTCTTCTTCCAAACGAAATTTCAGTTTCACCAAACGGAGCCGTTTCTCTTCCTTAGGATGCCATGAAAAGATCAGATGAAGTGAGTTCGGAGCATACACGAGTAATGAATACTTGTGACAAGCTGTGCTTCAACAGACAGACCAAACTCACCAGATCAGCTTGACAAGCAAGCAGCTCATTTTCGACCTTTTCCTGTCGTTCACGCGTTTCGCTCAACTCTGCTTGGGTAAGCGTAAACATCTCCTGAAGCTGAGCCATGTCGTTCTCTTGTATCTCACGACGTTCTTCCAACTCACTAAGCGGAAAGGACAGAGTTTACGAAATAATAATAACCCCGGAATAGGTAGAACAAGTAAAGTGATAGAAACCGAGTTTGACAGTGGATATGAAAAAGAAAAATTCATAGAAGACAGATGAGAATGACTATATGCCAAGATGAACATGTACCTGTGGCATACATGAATACGTATAGTGTATCAGAGGAAGAAAAATATAACGAAGAAACTGCAATTCAGAAGAACGCTTAAACTTGTGTACGACTTCAACGATGACAACCCCGACTAAAACAGTTAGCATTCAAATTGTAGAAGGAAATTGAAAGAGGTGGTTCAATTCACAACACACAATAATGTGGGCTGATAAATAAACTTAAAAGCTGACGTAAGACAAGAAGCTTTTCAGAGAACCCTATTACCGAAAAATGGTAAAGTTACTCACCAAATTCGCTCACGCTGTTGCTTGATTTGATTTTGCAAAGTTTGATAATTTTCTAAATCCACAAAAATTCCATTTTTGGTACGAGCGGCCTCCAAGTCCCGACGCATTCGCTCCAATTCCTCATTGTAACTTCTAACAAGGTCGATCTTGTTCAGGCGAACATTAACTTCAGGTCTATTTTCAATATTTTTGGCCCTGTGAGCGTAGTCCAGAGTGGAGAGTGTCTCGTCAAGAGACAAAGTACTCGGACTAATCGTAGCGATGATTGACGTCTTCGTCCTCCCCCCTAAGGAGTCCTGAATAAGTTGGAGAAAGCGAAGGTAATAAGTACATCATCTGAGAATAGAAAATAAGTAAATGCGCAGAAATAATAATAATAATAATAATAATAATAATAATAATAACGTCAACAGCGTGGAACATATCACAGCCATCGAATCGGCGTCAGAAAATGCTCCATATTGGGGAACTAAGTTAGCTAAGACATTAATGCAGGAATATCGACAGCAAGGCATGAACATTCAAATATCAGCGAGCAAGGAGTTAAGCACGGAAAACAAAAAAGAGCAAGAGAAGCGGTCATGTGCCCGAAAATTGTACCAAACTCACCACAGTCGATATAAATAAAGCGCTGCAGCATAAGAAACTAAACACTACGGGCAGCTATATTACAGTCCGTGGGATTGAAGATGAGGTTACTAACCGTATAGCGAAAGTTCGGGAGTTTTGCCAAGTTTCGTCACCTGTGGCGCCGGCGTGACATCACTCTCGCTCTGAAGAGAAGAGTTTGCAATGCAACCGTCCGTTGAACCCTCCAGTAAGGTTGCGAAACCTGGCCTATCAAATCGACAGACTTAAAGAGGATAGTTACGTTTGACCAACACTGCCTTAGCAGCTTGGCTCATGTCTGTTGGGAACAACGCGTGAGGAATGAGCGTGTTCGACGTCGTGTATTTGGTGAAGGAAGAGCGAGTGAACCGCTCAGCACCATTATTTCACGCTCTAGACTCCGATGACTTGACCACATGTTACGCGTGCCAGCACACCAACTCACACAGCATGCACTGTGGGGATGGAAGAAGAGGAGGAGACGCCAAGCGATGAAAGTCAAAAGGAATGAAGTCCCTCACCTCGAACTTGGCGTCCGTTGGTGTTTCCCGACTGTTAGGCTGGGGTCCAAAGGACGACGAACAGGTTGGGTTGGATACACTAGATGACATAGCGAGGAGGCGATCACAGTGGCTGCTGCATTGCGAGTTTTTTGTCTTCCCGTTCCCGCTTAACTTACACCTTCAACAACGATCTCACTACATGCATAATATGAAAGTTAGAATTATATTACTCGCTTTTTTAGTTTCCGCATCCCGTTATGTTCCAGTATCCCGCTCTTCTCATAAAGCTCATATTTTGTATTGCGACACAAGTTATCTGAAGTGTGTTTCTCACCTTCAGCTAATGTGCAATAATGATGGTGATGAACATACGAACAGTGAACATATCCAAAGAAAGATTTAACAGAAGCATCATAGATACTAAGGGTTGAGTATAGCAGTGCAACTGGAACTCAAGACCATGTTCGGCCGAGTCTACCGTTTCATCCTGTTTGACATACTGTCCCGAAAACAAGTTCCATGAGATACGAGTGTGAGTCACAGAAGAACGTCATCTTTTCTAGGTGAGGTATAGTTATCAACACGAGAACATGTATTATAAACCAAATTAAAGCTGGTCCTTTGTGAAGCACATCCCTACTTCGCAACATTGTCAAAATGTCTCGCAATAGCAATGTTCCACCTTCGAATGAGAGCATCTATTTCTACCTCGTTGAATTCCGTTGATTGTTCGTTGAGCCGCAACTTCACTACGTTTTCACTACCCCGTCACTGGAATAATGTTTGCCTCTTAAACCCCTTTTTCATGGAGCCTAACAGATGATGGCCTGAAGGCGCTAAATCTGGTGCGAATGGAGGATGTGGTAAAGTTGTCCAATTGAATGTGGTGATTGTCTCTTTTGTCTTGATAGTTGTGTGTGGTCGGGTATTGTTGTGCAGAAAGACCATTTTCAAAAAGGGCCTGCGCACAAATGGCTCAAGTTACAGGGGGCATTAGTTTCGTTTCCGTCGTTTGCAAGATTCTGGTGTCCATCATTCTTTGCATGCTATCCACAACGCGTGAATCACTACAGTGAGAAGAACAGGCTGGGTTCCGCCCTGGTCGCGGCTGCATCAATCAGATTTTCATACTCCGCCATGTGTATCAATAGCCAACAATTGTTGTGTTTCTGGATATCCGTGCAGCTTTCAATGTTATCGATAGGGCTGCATTGTGACACTGTCTGTTGAGGAATGGTATTCCCGAGAAGTTCATTCCCATTCTGCGTGATCTGTGTAGTCTGAGTTCGGGTAGAGTTAGGGCTTAGAGCAAATTTTCGTCTTCTTTTGTTGTCAACAGTGGGGTTCGACAAGCATGACCTATCTCTTCATTCCTCTTCAACTTTGCCATTGAGGATGTCCTCAAAATGCTCTAAAAGACTTGTTGAACGCTGGCGTTGAGCTCCTCCCAGGTAGTCGGGTAGTTGATTTGGAGTATGCTGATAATATCGTCTTGTTAGGTGACGGTCCGTAGGCCGTCAAACTTGCAACTAACCGCCTGGAGGTTGAAGCGTCGAAGTATGGCATGCACTTTTCACCATCCAAGTGCAAAGTGTTTTTTCAAGACTGGTATACCCTGCTACCTGCATTCACCATCGATGGGAAACGTCAAAAGTAATACAGAGTTTTGTCTACCTGGGTAGCTGAATAACTGTTGGAAAGGAGATTTCGATGCGTATCTCAAGAGCTCGTCTCGCCTTCTCCAGGCTGAGGCATTTATGGCGCTGCCATGACACCCGTCTACTCATGAAAGGACGGGTTTACTGTGCTACTGTCCGCGCTGTACTGTTGTATGGTTGCGAGACTTGGCCTGCTCGTATCGAGGACCTCCGTCAACTGTCTGTCTTCGAGAACTATTGCCTGCGGTCCATTGCCCGTGTGTGGTGGCTGAGCCATGTAACCAACGCTGAAGTCAGACCGCGTATCTTGGGTGGAGAGCCACTCCCTCGAGGCGCTTATTTCGCTTCGTCAAATACGATGGCTCGGACACGTACTGAGTATGCCCATTCAGCGTCTTCGCCTCAAGTCGCATTCGCGGTCGCTGGAAAGGGTTGGAGGAGGTGGTGTGGTGAACAGCATACAACTTGGAGAAGCAGGATGAAAAATCTGACAAAACAGCTGGTCACAGTTGGTTCCTACCGACTTCCTGGATGCGGTCCCAAGGATGCTGAGTGCAGTTGGATGGAAACCTTGGAAGGTATGGCTCGAAACCGAACTCAATTGCAGGCGCGTATGTCTGTTTACTGTGGTGATTCCCCTTTCCTCCCCCAAGAAAGAAACATGAAAAAACTGTAGGTGGAAAAATGAAAAATAATTTTATTTCCCTTTTTACACCAACCCTGTTTTCCTATTCCGACCACGGTCCTGAGGACACAATATCAGTACACAGATTGTGATATATATATATATATATATATATATATATATATATGTGTGTGTGTGTGTGTATACATATAGTCCTTGTCTATAGGCAAGCTAGTTCTCACTCGTCGGATTCTTGCTGAGACTCATCAGGGTGTTAATGTAGATTTCAGAGCTTATTGTTTCTCCTCTTGACAGAAGATTAACCATAATGACACCTTCAGCATCCAAAAAGACAGTCGCCATGATTTCTCCAACTGACTTTAGCGACTTGAACTTTTTCGGTTGAGGTGACTTATAGCGGCGCCTCTCCATTGACCGTATCTTTGATTCCGATTCATAATAATGAACCCATGTTTCATCAGCTATTACGAGCCTTCTGACTGGGTTCAAAAAGTGTAGTGCAGGTATCGACCCTATGAGTCTTCTGTTCGGTAGTCAGCTCTCTTGGTACCCAACGGGCACACACTTTTGACAAGCCAAGTGATACGACAATGTTGTAAGCACTTCCATTGCTCACTGCATGTTTTCTGCCAATTCATCAAGAGTTACCTGCCTGTTTTATCTGATCAGACCATCAGCTTCGGCTTTATTAGCAGGATACACAGAGGAGCACGGGCGGCCAAAAAGGGGTTTATCGGCAACGCTCTCGATTCCCACATACTCATCAGATTTAGCGCCTTCAGACTATCATCCATTAGGCCCCATGAAAGAGGGTTTGAGAGGCAAACATGATGCCAGTGACAAGGAAGTGAAAGCGGAGTGAAGAAGTGGCTCAAAGAATAGTCAACAGAATGCAACGAGGCAGGAATACATGCTCTCATTCGAAGGGGTACATTGCTAGTAAGAGAAACGGCGGCGTTTGAGATGTGTTCCACAAAGGACCAGATTCGATGTGATGTATGACACAGGTTCCTGTGTTGACAACTATACCTGTCCTAAAGTTGACGCTATTTTATGACTCACTTTCGAAGATGAAAATTTTACCTACCTTGTGCTCTACTACCACAAACCATACTAGTGCTTACGATGAACTGTAAAGCACCTCCATCCACCAGCAACAAGTGCCGCTAGTCAGAATTGTCCCGTATCCGCATTTCCACACAATTTTATCGGAGACGCCATCCCGGAGTATTTCCTTGAGGAATGCCACAATGCAAGCGTTGAAGTATCATCCGGGAGAATTTAAAGAATGGGTAAGACATCAGTAGTACGCCGGTACGCACTACCAACGCTACGACGCCGGTCAAGCACCATCGCACATGGGCTAAGGATACTGCGAGGGTCACCCGGTCCCCATACAGGCTCGAACCTGCGCCTCCGGATTACAAGGTGAGCTTGTGCTCATTAAGGCTACGAGCCGGCAAAAGGGCATCAGCAGTACGACGCTACGCATTACTGACGCCTCGCTGCCATGCAACCACCACTAGTCGCACCTGGGCTAAGGATATTGTGATGGTCGCCCGGTCCCTATGCAGGATCGAACCCAGGCCCTCGGACTACAAGGCAGGTCACGGAGTTATTTACGATCATTTCGATCACAAAGCTGAAGAAGAAAGGAAATAGACGACAACCCTAGCGAATCCTACTTGTGGCGAAGTCAAAAGAGCTTCCCATAGACCCTTAGACAACCTCAGTAGTCATGGTAGAGAGACGTCAGAACAAAAAGGACTTTCCCTGGTACCCCCTTCATGGATAGGCAGTGTCACAAGCTGGCGCGATCAACAGTCGAAGGCTATTTTCAAGTCAAAGAAAACCAACATAGTCGGTCGTTTGTAAGTGTT